AGTTCAAGACCAGCGTGGGCAACTTAGGGAGACCTCGTCTCTACAAAAGATATACACAAAAAATTAACCAGGAGTGGTGGTGTGCAACCCTAGTCCCAGCTACTCGGGAGGCTGAGGCCAGAGGATCGCTTGAGCCTGGGAGGTTGAGGCTGCAGTGAGCCGTTATCATGCCACTGCCTTCCAGCCTGGACGACACAGTGAGACCCTATCTCTCACACACACACACGCAAACAATCCTTAAGACCAGCCTGGGCAACATAGGGAGCTCCACACTCAACAGGTACTCATTCAGTGTTGTAAATTACATTTGCAAAGACCCTTTTTCCAAATAAGGTCACTTACGTTTGCAAAGACCTTTTTTCCAAATAAGGTCACACTTCTTGGTCCCAGGAATTATAATGTGGATGTATCTTTTGGGGGGCTACCATTCAACACACTACAGTATGAGACTTTCACAGACCATGGGGACAGGAGGCAGCGGTTAAGCTTGGTTTCTTTCTGACTTGGCAATGGCGCCCTGTGGTGAGGGCCACTCATACTGGAACTGCGCTGAGAAACCCATCCCTCCCTCCAGCTCTCACTGCTGAAGAAAATAGGCATTCTGGGAAATGCTAGTGGGCCCCAACCCCTTCCTAGCCACGCAAGCGACCCCCTCTTCAGGGCCTATTTCCAAGCCCCCTGCTTTGAGGCCCATGCTGGTCATCTCAGACCCCAGCTGCCTCACTCTCCATTGGGTCCTATGACCTTGGGCCTTGATTTCACTTGTTCAAACCCCTCATAAGTGTTCGCTGGCTGTCCATTGTACTTTGGACCCCAGGCTTAAGAGAAAATTCATTTGGCAATTAATCCTGCACTCACCTTGGACCAGTCCTGCAAAGTCCCAGATTCTTGTGGGAAGAGTGGGCGTTTCAAAAGCATAGAGAAGCTAACAAGCCTCCAGTCAAAATCACCCTCAAAGACCACCTATAAACCACCAGAAGCCAAGACTTTGAAGCTCAAAAGCAAAAATCCACTTGTTACCTAGCCTTGTAGGAAGGGGATTCCTGGCCCTGGGGCAGGTCTACTTTGGAGAGGAAGGGAGGGAGGAAGGGAGGGATATGTATTCGTCAAAGAGATTTCAATCTTTTCTTCCTTCACCTCTGGATTTTATAAGCGGCTTTTCTAAGCACCAGGCATGTGTGTGGCAATCTACTATATGTTACTCTCTTGGATGAGCTGCCCTGAGAACAAGGCTCCTGAGGGCAGAAAGAAGCTCCACTATCTCCCTGTGAGTGGGTCACAAGGTAGCCTGGGCAAGGCTGGGCAGGGCAGGTGCTGGATAAAGTCACTGGGGGAGAGGGGAGGAAGGAGGCGAAAGGTCCACACCTGTGGGTCCCATGACTCAGGCGACCCCTTAAGGGACTGCTCTCACCAAGAGGAATACTGGGGCGAGCTTTCCCACCTCGCCACCCAGATCCGTTGTCCCCTCTGGGCCACACATCTGTCCAAAGCCATGACAGGGACAAAGGCCCACACCGTGTGGGCCCACAGTCTGTTCCAGGGCTGAGTCCTGTGCCTGGTGCCTGACGCAGCTCCAAGCCCAGCTGGTGCTCATTCGATGCTGAATGCCTCTGAGAATCTTCAGGCCTGCCATTCTCAGCCAGGGGTCTGAGAGTCCCCGTATTAGTCAGGTTTTCCCAGAGAAACAGAACCAATGGGATGTGAACAGGGAGAGAGAGGGAGAGAGAGAGGTTGATTTTAAGGAAGCGGTTCACTGATTGTGGAGACCGGCAAGCCCACATCTGCAGGGTAGGCCCGGGGACTGGGGATCCAGGAAGAGCTGATGCTGCAGTTCCAGTCCCAAAGCCATCTGCTGACAAATCCCCCCTCTCAGGAATGTTTTTCTCTTCCAAGGTGCGGAAGAGGTGGGAGGTGAAGGGTGAGGGTTAATCTTGGTCTTCAGGTCTTCAGCAGAGGGAGCAGGACCCGCCCGCCTGGTGATGGAATCTGCTTTACTCAGCACTCATCCACTGATTCAGATGTTACTCTTATCAAAAAATACTTTCCCAGGGCCGGGTCCGGTGGCTCATGCCTGTAATCCCAGCACTTTGGGAGGCCAAGGCGGGTGGATCACGAGGTCAGGAGATCAAAGACCATCCTGGCTAACATGGTGAAACCCTGTCTCTACTAAAAATACGAAAAATTAGCTGGGTGTGGCGGCGTGCACCTGTAGTCCCAGCTGCTGGGGAGGCTGAGGCAGGAGAATGGCGTGAACCTGGGAGGCGGAGCTTGCAGTGAGTCGAGATCGTGCCCTTGCACTCCAGCTTGGGCGACAGAACGAGATTGCATCTCAAAAAATATATATATTTTTCAAGAAACATCTAGAATAATGGCTGATCAAATATCTGAGTACCATGATCCAGCCAAATTGATGCATAAAATTATCCTCCCACTTCCCCACCCCTGGCCCCTTCAAGGCCCTCCGGGATTCTCTGAGGAGTCTGGTTCTCCATCTCCTCCTCTTTGCCCTCCCGCTTCCAAGCTGTGAGACCCTGAGGCTCTTCCCTGCCTTGTTCTACCCAAAGGTGCCTCAGGGGCTTGAATTCCTCCTTCTTGGACTTTTTCCAGTCAGTGGATCCCATCACTTTGAGGGCTCCTGGAATGACGTTTTCCCCAAGAAGCCTCTCCTGTATAAAATTGGGGGTTGTTGGCTGTGCCCAGAGGATGGGGGTGGCTTCCCTGCCCTCTCCACCCCCCACACCCCTGCCCCCTTCCGCCTGCATCACTGCCGGGCTGGACCGGGGGTGGGGGGTGGGAGGAATATAAGCCCTGGATTGGGAGCCCTTATCTTGCTTTAATTTCCTCTAGAGTTCAGCACTATGTGAGGTTATAGTAGTGGCCGAGCTTGTTTACTCTTTCTCTCCTACCGGCATATAAGCTCCAGGGGGCAGGGACTTCATCCCCAGAGCCTAGCCCAGGACCTGCACACGGAGGCACTCGAGATGTTTGTTGATTGAATGAAAAACATTCACTGAACACCTCTGTTGTGCAACACACACTGTGCCAGGGCGTGGACGAAAGCTCAGCTGCCCAGGTCATTGACTATTTCTGAGCATTTCCACTCTCACGTTGTACACCCCTCATTTCTCTCTTCTTAGAGGCGAGCCCCTCCCTACCTGAGCGCAGGAATCATCTTCCTTGCTGTCTCCTGCAGTCTGCCCTGACTTGGTGTCCCGAGACAGGGACTGGGTTCTCTCTGAGCCCTGGAGGAATGTGAACTGAGCTGATGAGGAGATGCCTCCTGTCTACTTGGAGGAAAGGGACCAGGACACACAGAGGCGCAGGGGGCTGAACCCTGGGTTCCAGCCCCACGGACTCATCCGGAGTCACGCGGTTCCGGGACTTTGCAGAGGAAAGGGGTGCAGGATGTGCTTTGGGGATAGAATTCCACCTTTGCACCCGGCTCAGCACCTGTCCTGTCCCCCGGAGATTCCTTGAGGCCACCTGGATCGGAGAGGAGATGCTGTTGATCATTTCCTGTCCCCTGAGGCTGTGATCCCGGGTCGACCGGACCGGTAGCCCGGCAGCGCCCCCTGGTGGCCGGCGACGCTCAGGCAGCGCCGGGAATCGCCGCCCAGGTCAAGGACCAGAACCAGGAGCAGGAGCAGGTGCAGGGCCAGGGCCAGGGCCAGGGCCAGGGCCAGGGCGGGAGGGAGATTTATCCCAGTGTACACCTCTAACTTATCCCTCCTACACAAGGCAGGACTCCGGCTTCTTTCCCTTTTCTGTGTATTTCAAAAGTAATGTACATTGAGCATAAAAAATACATGTAAACAAAAAGACGCCCCCAATCAAAGCTGTGATACTGTGTCCTGGCAGGACCAGCCAGGCCTGGGTCTCAATCCCAGACCTACCATCTACCAGCTGAGTGAATCTGAACAAGTCGCTTAACTCTCTGAGCCACAGTTTCTGCATCTGCAGTCTGGGAATGGTGTGCTCTCCATTGCTGGGTTGTGTAAAGATGACCTATGTACCCAGCACAGAGCTCTGACTGATGGGGACAATTCTTATTAGACACAAAGGAGAATGTGTTAAATGCCCTTCAGTTTCTGCCCAGGTGTTCCCAGGGGGTGAGAGATGTTCCCAAAGATGTAACTGCCTGCCTGATCGCCCAAGCAGAGACTTTCTGGCAGCCAGGGTTGGTCACAGGGCTAATTCTGGTCCACGGAATGTGACTGGAAATGATGTGTACAACTTCCGAGTCACGCCCTGCAAAGGAGGTTGTCTCTCCCTCCCTTCTGCTTTTCCATCCTCCTGCTGGCTGGGAAGTGGAAGATCGTGGATCAGCTGCCCTGGAGAAAGAAAAGGAAGCCACATGTTGAGGATGGCAGGGTCTCCCTGACACCCCAGAACCACCGACATCTGAAGAAATAAATATTCCTAAGCCAACGTATCTCTGGATCTCTTTGTTACATCAACTTAGATATAATCATGGCATTTCAAGTGTACACCCAGGAGTCTTGGTATTCATTCTGAACACCAGCTGACAGAGCTTCTGCCTTTAGTGCCACTTGTTACCTTTAGTGT